CACCGTCTTCTTGTCCCTCTCTTTCCCGACCTTCCATGTTTTGACACATTAATATTCACCATATGCCCTGTCAGAGCTATCACAGGCGCGCTTCATTTTTATGCTCTTGCGGTGTGGGCAAACAGTGCGTACAGCTGCTGCCGTCAGACAGCTTTTTCCCCCTGTGCCTTGGCTCATGTGCAACCAAACAGACTTGTGTCAGAAATCAGGAATCTGTGAGGCAAGCCAACCACTTCAATCGGCATCTTCCTGCAGAGCACCGCGTTAAATGGGACCGACATGCACTTTATTATATCTGGCGTCCTTTGTTTTAAAAGAGTGGCACCTTGGTAGCGCTGACGCAAAACAGTTAGGTGGGATTATGCGATCGGAGCATTCGATTCTGTGATACCATCAGCTCTTACGTTTTTCCACACGTCCATGACTGAATATAATTTTCCATGCCTTTTTTTGTTTATACAAGGTTTGTAAAATGTTAATACTAATTCCATCACAGATTAAATCTGTGACTGTTTCTTACTTGGGTCCTATCTCCACATATAATACAACTATGTTTGATTAAAGTCGGGGGACAGAGAGTTCAGGATATCGCTTCCATACCTTCAGGTACTTGACCAGTTTCTGGATCTGCCAGTATTCGGGCGGCAGGTCTGTGTTACTTTCCAGACGGCGCTCCGACTGCTCCTCTTCCTCCTCACTCTCACTTGAACTTTCGCTGGAAAGCTCCATGGCTCCTGCTGGGGTCTTACTGAGTGACAAAACAGCAGAAAACAGACTTGAGCGTTTGTCAAAAAACAATCTGCAACGTGTAGGACAGTGTAATGAGTGGACAACACTTGGCCAGACAAAGGGTGGAATTCAGTTCTTTGTCAACCCCACTTTAAATACAAAAACACCTTGGTCATCCCACTCAGCACGATTAAGATGAAGAAATACATGTGTCAGATTTGAACTTCCTCGGAATCTAAGCAGCAGGGACAGAAAATATCGTAGGACGACTGGAGTCATCATCATATGCAGAGTAGAGGCTCTACCAAAGTTATTGATGCAAACAGAGATGCAGATGGTTTTTTAAAGATGCTGGGGCTGCTCGGATAACTGTATCACTAAACTGGGCACAGTGGAGTAATGAAATTTGGTACACACTCATATGGGCCCACTGAGAGACAGTTCCTCTCTACATGGAAATAGAATTTCCAGGGGAGCGCATTATTAGAAGGAGCCAGCAGATATAAAGGCAGTTTGCTCCAGCGAGAAACAAGATAAATTCAGAACACGTCAGGCCCAGCTACAATAGTGTGACAGAATAAATGAAATGCATGAACACCAAATCCTCAGCCAACAAATAAACACACTAAACATGGTCTAGATGTAGCCCTTGTCACCTTTAGGATAATTCAATATCACGATAAACATTCCTTCATTTATCTTCCACAGCCTAATCCTTTTCAGTGTCACTGGGTTGACTGGAGCCTATCCCAGCATTCACTGGGAGAAGCCAGACTCAAACCAGTAAAGAAACAGTTCATGGTCTTTCTTCTGCATGGACTGATACTCGCAGGTCCAGGAAAGACATGATCGAAATTATCTTCATTTATTTATTCAAGGCTTAATCATTTCCAGGGTCAGGACGGGGGTGGGACACACCCTGAGCTAATCCATGGGCCACATGTAGAGAAAAAAAACAAGAGACTCAGAGCTATGGTCCTTTTTACAGGATTAAATTAAGCTCCCCCTGTGTCTGCATGTTTGTTGACTGTCAGAGTGAACAGGGATATGGAGAAAAAAAAAGCACATACAGAACATTCTACAGAAAGACCATTAGTTACTAAAGGTTACTATAGGTCTAAAGCACTAACTATCACTCGATGACCTAGTTCTTCATACTATCAGCTAACTAAAAAAGGAGATCATTGCAAAACACTCACATTTTCTGGGAGGACAGGCGTCCAGGTAAAGAGGACAAAGAGAATTCTGCCTTCATCCTGCTCCTGGCTCCTGATCCCTGGACTTTCTCCAATCCAGAGCTCTTTGGTTTCTTTTCCTCTGCTTTACTGTGTTGACAGTAAAATAACCATTATTAGGCTGACTTCTTTCTGGGAAATGGTTATTTCTTTTTTCTTTTTATAATATTTTTTCATTGAGACTCCTGGGTAAGTCTTAGGTGGGCACAATGATCATAGTACGGGTACAAATACAAGTACATATTATATAACTCGGTCTTCTTTCAATTTATTTACCAAATGGAATTTCGAGGGATTTTTACACATTGAGTGAATCTGAATGTTTTTGCTGCCTGAGAGGACACACATTTTTTTCCTAATTTATTCATTTCCTCAGAGCCTGGTGAATGAAAATATTTGAACTAGTCCTACAATTTTAAAACAATGTGCCCAAATGTCAGAATGTGAATCTAAATAACAGGGGGAACACATGTGGAAAAGAGACTAGAATCACTGTCACACTAACTCTGTTTATCACACGGTCGGCTGACGATATTTTAAGACACATCTTGCAGAGAATCATCACGTACCCACATGGAGACATGAGACCAAGATTTTTCCATCTTGGACAGGGCTCATATTTCTTTTCGGCGCTTCTTTTTCTCGGCACATGATGTTTTCGTGTCTTCTCATTCACATTCTTTTCCCGTTGTCGATAAGATTCCTTCTCTTGGCCCTTTTCATTCATTTCATCAAATTCTCCGGCTTTTATTTTCTGTTGATACAGAGAGGGAAAATAAAAGTTGAGGATCGAGAATTAGGTAGAACATTCAGGAGTAGAAAAAAAAGACAGAGACGTAAGATGAATGGAAACAAACTTTATGAAAAGGTATGTTTCACATGAAACAGTCTGTTACACTTAACAAAGTGTTGCCTATGTTAATTCCAAGAAAAAGCCCAATAAAACAGCAGAAAAATATCAGTGAGGAAAAAAAATGAAATCGCATAAAACCTGAAGCTCAACAATATGCAGTTCTGTGTAACAATTAGGTCTTTATGAAGGCAGTGAAATTAAATAATACGCTGCCAGTGTTTTACACAGAATGGGTCCCTTTTCTGTTAACTGGCTGAACGGCTTCAAAAAGTTTATTGTTTCTGCCCAGTCGACATAAAACCGTGCTGCACGGCAGAGAAAGTCCTTTCTTTATTCCACACTTTACAACCTGTGTATAAACGCCAACGAGACGCAGGAATGGCTCAGAGCCGGCAGACGAGTTTGACACAAAACACAAGACACCTGCTCAAGAGAAATGTAACATCAAAATGTACATATGATGTTACAGACCTAACAGTGAGAGATAAGGGAGGGGGTGTGGGGGAATTAACATTTATGGGTTGTGGTCCTACAAACGCTGGAGCTAATTCCTCAACGAAATCTTGTTTCTCATAAACACAATGTGAGCTGCTGTAAAACGTTAAATCACATGAGCACTGACGCAGAAACAGACTACAGTAGGCTGTTTGGCTTTCCTTTGTCCGATTGTTTTTTTTTAAATATAATGATGCTTAAATGTACATTTGTTAAACATGCTGTTCCATCTGCCATCTGCATTTGAATGCTTAAGAAAAAGAAGAAGACAAATAAAAAGAATACGGGGGTCCTCAATTACGGCGGTGCTTGATTTTCAGCCTTTGGTCGAAACTAACATACTGTACCTGATATGTAATTGTGTTACTCACCTACGCTAACAAAGTGTCATAACCTAGAACTTGGGTGTCAAATATATGGCCCACGGGCCAAAACCGGTCCACTAGGACAGTGTTTCCCAAACTTGTTTTCTAGGCACCCATATTTGAAAAGTCACAAACCTTCGCAACCCAAGACAATAGACACTATTCATAAACTCTTAGGAAACATGATGCGAGACAACCCAAAAAAAATCTCTTGCGACCCGCCTGAGAGTCACGACCCAGTCTTTGGGAAACAATGCACTAGGATATAGGGTATATAGTGTGGTATTCAAACCACAGTGAGTGGTTGATAGAACAAGACTAAACCCACAGCCCTCCAGTGGTAAGTGTCCACTACTACCACTGCAACAATTAGGCAAACAGAATTCAATTTCTTTACCTCCAAAGAAGCCTCAGTCACAGGCAACCATCATTTAGTTGCTGTTATACGCTCACTGCTACTGTATTAGTAGGTAGACTTCTAAAAGTGGATTACTTAATTTACAATGGTAGAACATCAGCTGGGACAGAAACACTGCAGCCACCGGCCATTACACATCTGATAGCTGCCGTTTTTCGGATAACCATGCAAAATTTGTTTCTGCAGATAGACCAGCGTTTGTACGCTCGCTGCATAGCATGTCCAATTTCCAATCATGGTGAAAGAGAGTGTGCTTCCTCCGGTGCTTCAGCCCGTTCAGATGTTGGCAACATCTGCTTATTTGATTGAGGCTGTCTAATTTAATAAAACGTGTTAGAAAAAACCTGCTTCCTCACAGTGAAAGTGAGCAGAGATGTTTGGAGATATGTTAGGTGTTGTTATCTTTGGCCATTTCCTTCTACGGCTGCAGTCTCCATTTTGCAATCAGGGAAATGAAGTGATGTAGGAATGTGTTTCTGACAGACTTTTCCACTGCTGCGCTCATATTCCAACTGGACTGGATCATGTCAGCTAGAGAGACAACAATTACTTAATACCCAGACGGAAGTCACACAGCAACGTTCAATTGTAGTCGTCAGCGATCAATCAAACAGATCTCTAAGTGGAGCCTTTTTTAGCATTGGTCTTATGATTAACTCAGGGAGAGACCGAAAGAAAAATAACCTGCAGTAAGAAAAAACAAAGTTACAGGATTCCAAAGGACCAAATTAAAACGAATGAAGAAAAAAACAATAAATCAAACACAACTTTCATTATTTTTATATAGTTGTTAGGCAACTAAAGTCTCCAAAAACAAATGTATATATTAGATTCATAATTTATGTTTTTTATTTTATTTATTGTATTTTCATCTGGTTAGATGCTGGACATATAAATTAGCTGCATCCATAAGAAAGGATTACTTATTCTTGCTGTTTTCTAATTCTTAATACTTATTAAAACATTTTAATTCTTTTAAATATAATTTCTCAACCATGGGTTGAGTCAATGATAAAAGGGCATGGCCTCTGACCACCTGTTGAGAGCCCCAAGCTCCCGTGGAGGAACTTGAGGAAATAAATAAATAAAAAGTTTGATTTTGGGAAATACTAAAGTCAGACTATAGGGGAAAAAAGGCTTATTGGAAATTGCTGATGTCTTTTCTTTGAAACTTCTTCAATTATTCAGCCGGACCAATGGTCTAGGACAAATGGTCTGTGTGATTTTTGTTGTTTTTTTAACAGCAAGAATAAATAAACAACCTTTGCAAAACCAATGAAAATCTTTTCTCTGTACTATACGATTATAGTATAGAATATTCCAGAGAATGATTTTTTTCAGTTTAGATTAACAAATGTGAAACTTTTCTGATCATATATCGGATAAGATTTAAGAGTATTATTTAATAGTAGATTAGTAGATTTATTAGTAAATTTCAATTTTAGTATTTCTTGCTTTTTGTGTACAAGATGAAGGGTGAGCTTGAAGGGTGTGAGCTTTAGAGATAATTCTCTCAGCTGAATCCTGATAGGTTTACCATAGACCTTATGCTACTGTATATGACAAATCGGGAGTTCAAAAACTTCTAAAATGTCCTCTAATGGCCAATGTGAGTATCTGTACCAAATTGTCTAAATCAACCAAAAGAAAACATCTGCTACTGCGGTTAATATATAAAAGAGCGAGCATTAATGGCTGTCAGAGACAACTTACAGCAGTAAATGTAGTGCCGAGAGCGTCCAAGAGCGAGCATGGAAAAATCCCTGATGACAATTTAAATAGATTTTTTTATTATTATTATGTTAAAATATTCTTCATGGCTGTTGTTTTTGTTCCAAAATATATCGCAAGCAGAATATTTCTCTAAGTTTCTGCTCAATCTAAAAGATGTAATAGGCAGTAAATGTGTTTAAACGTCAAAAAGTAGATGACAGAAAAGAACTCCTGCTCTTTTTTTCCCCTTTTCTTTTATTTGTTAGCGTGTCATTGTTTGTTATCAAATCTGGGCGGAATTTCAGGATGAGACAGATAAAAAAATACAGCCCAGGGCATTAGGTATGGTACGCTGATGAACTCTTTTCAAAATTAGGTTTGGACTGATTTCAAATTGGATTACACTGGTGTGATGCACAGAACTTGTGCACAGAGGTTCAGAGCTGACAGAGGTGGAGAGGTGGCCAGTGATGAAACCACATTTTCCAGAAAACATCAGTGTGAGTGAGGGGGAGGGGGGTGGGGGGGGACTGTATCTTCAAATGATTAACAGATTCTTCAGAACAACTGGATTTCATTATGTGGGCTATTTGTTATGTCGTCAAATTACTAAAGCAGGAAGTAGCACTACTGAAAAATTACACATTTTTAGTGTCAGTGCATGTGTGTGCGTGTTTGTTTATCCACGTGTGGAGGGGTGAAGGTTGTTTGGGACAGTGGAACACAGAGGACATCAACCCGGAAATTTTTCAAAGTAGTGACAACCAGACACTAGCTCACTGAGCATGGAAGAGAACAGACGCTGATTAGACAATCCAAACTTTGTTTATGAATATGAGTCACACAACATCGCTGCTGAAACCGGAGGTTTGGACAGGAGGACCTGCTTCGCAGGACAAAAAAGCACTTAAACTCCCACACATCGTCATGAGTGGTCACCGTCGAGGCCACAAGAACGGTTTAAGATGAGTTGATAATAATCACTAGTGTCTGTAAACTGCTGTACAGTACCTGCTTGTTCATGTGCTCAGCAAAGTGTGGAGAGCGGCTCTTCAGGAGTGTAAGCAGATCTTTGTACGTGTCACTGGTTCGCTCGTAACCACTCTCCTCCACCTCCTGTTTTATGCCCTGTGAAACACAACATTAAAGAAAAAAGGCTCATTAATTCCCTAAAAAACAATATTATACTGAGGCTCACATTCCACCTGGAGCAGCTGAGGTTACAGGGCTCAGAGTTCCTTTGGTCAGCCTCAGACAGGAAGTGTGAAACCATGTACAACACTAAATTATGTGTAAGACACTGTTGCTCTTAGAGGTGTCTCCTGCGTTAATGTCAGCCATTATGGATTTAAGACTGCGGGGTTTTAAGGTTTTTGTTTTTTTACCTTGGTTGAACTATTGCCACGTGAAGAAACAGAGACGGGAAACTGAAAGCTTGTCAGTAAAAAGTGAAGAAACGCTGCTTCCTGCTAAATTCCATTTAAGAAGTGATTGCAAACATAGTAGGAAGGAACGCTGACATCCACACACATAAAACAATGCTCATATAACTGTATGACTCATGTCGTCTACTCCCTGAAATATCGTTTACAGCTGTGATTCTTAACTATAGGGTCGCGGCCCAAACTTGGGTTGCCAACGCCACATAGAGGGCTGCAAAAAGTATTGCAGCTGTTGCAGCAGCGCACACTATTGTGAAGAAAAAGGCTGTTGACTGTCATCTGTGTCAGCGTCTTAGTTTGGGCTTCGTAACAGAAGCTTGCATTTAGGAGGCATCGTAGGGCGTTAAATTAGGGTCAACTTTCACCAAACACATGAGCACTAACTTTACAGCAACGTACCATTTAACAGTGCAAAGCAAACGCGTGGCAGAGAGACAATGGGAGATGCTGGACATGCTATGATGCATGAGCCAATCAGCGTGAGGAACAGATGGTTAGCAAATGTTTTTTATCACGAAAATAATGAATATATTTATCGTATTAATTTACCGTAAATTTCCACAATATGGTGAAATGTACTGAGGGAGTGAAAGGAGAACCGCGATACAGAGAGGGAACACTGTGTGTGTACATTTATATATATATATATATATAGATATACACACATACATATTCTCACAGAAACAGGAAGCAGTATTTACACAGGCTTTTGCTGCAGACATCACTTTATCTTCATTTTCTTACCGCATTGAGAAAAACTGCAGTATTGCTGCAGGTGATGTAGAGGGTCTCTGTGTCACAAGGCTCGACCACAAGGTAACAAATCTCACCATGCACCTGCCTCCACAGAGGAGCCCGACAGCCATTGGAAAATTCATAATCTATTAAAGAAAGTAAACAAAACACACTATTAAATATCAGAATAACTTAAGTTTTTACCTTTGTTCAAATCAGAAAACAATGCAGCAACATTAAAACACTAGTATCGACCACTAACGGCTGCAGTGACATCGCAGCACAAAAGAGTCATAGTGTCAAAAGAGTGTAGAGTCAAGCACTAAAAATGTTAGTTAGTGAAAGGTGGAGTTAATTCAAACCTGATGTGAATCGTATCGACTCCAACGCCGGCTTCTCTCCGTCTCTGCAGAGCTCTTTGAGTGATTCTACGTCATTGTTGACTGTGGCGCAGTCGAGCTCCACTGTTCTGTGATAAAAACATTGAAAAACCAAACTAAACAAGCGTCGCATTCAAGCGTCACTCCTTTTGTAAACCCGCTGCCTTTTCCAATCAGAAACAAAAACACATCATCAGAGTAAAAATCTGAGTGGATCTAAGAGACGATGAATACAATGCTAGGTTAGAAATTTGATTGAACAACCAAGAAACCAGGAAACTAAAAAAAAAGCAAACAGACACCTACTCTGTTATTTCTTTGAGGAGCTTTTTGATTAAAAGTTCGTCCAGATTTTGGACCAAGTGAAACAGCTTGACCTTGACCTCGTCCTCCTCTTCCTTCACCAGACGTGGGACATCGGTCTGGTTGTCTTCCTTCTCCAAGCCGTTGCCAAACATTTGAACCATGGCGTCTCTATTTTCTGAACACAAAAAGTAACAGATGCCATTTTAAAATGTGACTTGTGTTATTTTCTGGAGTGACAACAAAGCCAGCCTAAAACATAGTGTATTATTTTACACACACACACACATTTTAACATTCCTTTTGTTGTAAAACAAAATATCCACCAGTACAAACATGAGTTATACCCTGTTCATCACATATTTCTTCTGCAGACAAATATACTTCATCGCTTTTGAGCAGTGCCCTTGAAGTAAATATATATTTATAGAGAATTAGCAATGACAGGATAATGAGATGGTTGTGCAGCGTCACACACAGGATAAACAAATTATGTTTGATGGTTATGGAGGTATGTTTGTGGCTGGATGTAAATGCTGTCCCGGACCTCGAGCTGTGGTCACTGTGCCTTACCTTCCAGACATGCCCGGAGCTCGTCTAGTTTCTTATCAGCTGCCAGATGGACTAGTTTACAGAGTTGGCCAAAGCTGCGGACATTAACTGTAGGAGGGCAGAGCTGCAGCAATGGCCGCCCTTCAGCGTCTTTTTCATGGGATTGTACTCCTGAGTCACTGAGGGGGAAAAACGTCACTATAATTGTAATAAATACCTATTTCATTTTTTTATAATTATTCACATTTGTTTTGCATTAGGGCTATCGAAGGAATAAAACATTTAATGTGATAAATCACAGGGTAGCTGTTGGTTACAATTAGTCATGGTCAATGATTAATCATGCTTAATGATTAATTGTGATTGTGATTAATCATGGTTGATCTAGCTAGATCAACATAGGAAATAGGAAAATATGACTTTTTTCCCTGTCTTCTGCATTGAACGCATTAAAGTTTGAATTAAATTAAATTACACAACTGGATTAACATAACATGTTAATTTGAATCTACTTTTAATATTTCTTTCTTTATACTTTCGCAATTTAAAGCAATTCACAAAACTAGACTGATTTTCCTCAGATTTGGTGATGAAATAAAAAGGAATGTCCTCTCTGAGCTGAAAAACAAATTAATTATAGCCCGGTGCCCAGATTTTGACAAAGGTAAAATACTTTTAAACACCGTGATGACAACATATCCTGCGCAGACACATAATACTCGAAAGCACTCGGCAGGCAGCTGTGCGCCTCCTGATTAGACAAACCTGATGTCATAGTCTGTTTTGAAATCAGATGCTGTCAAAGTAGTGCTCCACCGCAGTGGCTCCTTCAACACTTGCTCTGCCTCCTGTGGATGACGTGAGCCCAGCTCCTCAACAAAGCTCAGGATTTCTCTTAACAGTGTCTCATTCATTGACGTGAACTCCAGTTTGCCACCGGTGGTCCACTGGGCTGCTTTAGTCAGAGATACCCCCATCTCTATCACCACAACTGACGGATTCTCTGATAAAACAGGAAAAAACACTGCTGAGAGCTGAAGATATCACAATACAAACAACAACAAATTTGAATCGTTGAAAGTTAGTTAAAAACCTAAATTCCTCAAGCAGACCAGTATGTGTTAGTGAACAGCAGAGAAGAAGAGTAATATTCAAATTTAAATGCATTTAACCTTTTGTGTTTTTGTTTGTGAAGAGGGTATAATTCAATTAAATGTTTCCTAATATCCTAATACAATGCTGGAATTAAATATGTATTGTATGTCCCTTCTCTAAATGTTTATATAATCTAAATAAAGTATTATTGGTTTAACCTGTTTGTTTGTTTTTTTCATGTTTTATTGCATTTACATAGTATAGATAAAAACGACAATGACAATTGTTTCCAACATATTAGAAGGGTTAAAAACAAGAAACATTTAGTTATTTAAATAAAGTTGTTCTTCTTTTACGTTTACACATTATTTTTGTTAATTGGTGACTATCAGTCAGGTTGAAGCACCGTACTCACTCTGAAACTCCTGCATTCAAATAACACGCGTTCATTAATTCCAATAATGATTCTTAATTTGCACCGAAAACGGCTCCCAGACTTCATAACAACTACAGCTGAATTCTGTTCAAACGTGCAGCACAAACCTAATGCACATGGTGTATATTGTAAAATACTTCATTAATACTATTAACACGAAAGACGAAAATAACTAAATTTGGAACCTTACCGTTGTTTCAAATTAAACTTGTGGACGATATTACTGGTGTCCACGGAAACGCTGCCTTAGCCCCGCCTCTTTCTGTTGCTATGATACCACCAAACGAAACAAGTAGTGCGTCTGGCCAAAAAGCTTAAAACGCAATTCATTTTTAAAGCACTCGAAAACGCAACTCATTTTTAAAGCACTCGACGTAAAAACTTCAAAACGCAATTCATTTTTAAAGCACTCGACGTAAAAACGAATGTAAAAAAAAATCATTATAACAAACAATTTTATATATTTTTATATATTTCTCCTTCTTTATTTATTTTTATAACCATCTCCTTGTTTACTAAGTTAGAACATTTGTATATATATTTGAGCCTATAATAGCAAAGAATGTATTTATTTATCTTAAAAAACAACAAAATATCAAATTAAATCTTGTGATTTTTTTTTACTTCAAAACAAACATTGCTCTGCATAAAAAAATCACCAAATTTAAACTATCAGTTTAAAAATATTTAAAGTTAAAGAAAAATTAACTTGTGTGTGGATGATATTAATACTGTAATCTGTGAATTAATCTTTAATTATACAGTGTACACGCAAACTATGAGGAATCATTAAGGGGCTGGCTTGTCACTAATGAAGGCATCATGGGGAGAAAAAAATCCAAAACACTTGTGAATGCTGAATAGCCTGGAAATTAAATCAAACCTTTGCCAAGCACGGGAATAAACTGTTGGGCTAATGACCAAGACAAATTCCACCTGTGGTTGGGAGACACCTTCAAGCCTGACAAAGTTAGCTAGGGGCAACCTAGGGGAAGACAGCCTGCACTGGAAATATAAAATTATGCAGATATAATGTTGCCTATGTTTCTTAAAAGGAAGAAAAATCATCAAAATTGTTGTTATTGGCAGATGTGGGAAACGTGAGGGTAAACAGAACTATGAAAACAAAATGAAAAAAAAGGGTTATTTTTCTGTTCTCCATCATGGCACAAAATATGTGATTATTCTTAAAAGGACAGACCTAAAAGTCATTAAATTTCAGTAGAAAAACAACTGGTGCCACAGCATGAGATGGGTGGAAAATCTTGAGTGATAAGAGTTTTTAATGTGTTCGGTGTGCCTTGGGAAACGGACAGAAAGACACAGAGACACAGAGAGATTCAAATAAAGCCATAGTTGACATAGTGTCAAGACTTTCAGGGCCAGAGACTTTAAAATGTTAAATTAAATGTTGTCATAATAATAAAAATCACTGCATGTCTTCCTTCTCCGGTGTCCACATGACCACATATTTGAGAGCATATTTCCTCTCTTACTGCTGGTTTGGCTCTGTCCTGAGGGCAAACATCGGCTGGTGAAAACAGTCTATTTGAGTGGATTCTCTGTTTAGACGCAGCAAATGAGTTCACTCAGTTCAGAGTTAATAAACCAAACAGCAGTAATTGCAGGTACTGAATGGTAAAGCTTATTTTTGACAGCTTGACCAATGGGGAATAAAAAAAATATATTCAACTGGAAAAGTGAACAATACAGAGTTTTTCACTCTTGGATGTGCTAGAGAACAACCCGGCCATGCAGTAAATTTGCACAATCTTTTTCCTTAAACAACAAAATCACTGCTTAGGAAAATGCTCCGCTGGATCTCCTCTTTACTCTGCACTCAGAAACCACTCAGCGTTGATATAAAGCAGAGGAAGAAAGGAGCAAAGAGGATCTTGGGCCCCACAGCAGGAAGTTTGTAGGACCTGCCAAGCAAATGATTTATAAATAAAGCGTGAAGATACCTTCTGTGAAACTGATTAAACATTAAAAAAATTGTTGTTTGGCAGCTGTCTGTCAACGATACCCTCAGGCTGACTGACAGAAAGACATATCCCAGAAGCAGCAGTGATCATTTGAGTCTCAGCTTTTGGCACACAGTCGTTCATGAGCTCTATCCGTTTCTGCCTGGCCGTACATGGCAGCACAGCAGGTGGAGCCACTTTATCTATAAAACCATTTGGCTAAGTTGGACCGAGTCTGCCTGTAAATCAATCACCAGGGACCTCAGGAGGGGAATGGTAGCAGCTCATCTCCAGTATCATAAGAGGCCATTGTGGAAGTTGTTGTTGTTAAATAGCAGGATTTATGAGTTTCCAGTCCCCTCAGAGGTATTTTATTTGGAACCGGGGGACGCTGACTAAATGAAGAAGAAATGAAAATCTGCAACCGGGTGCTGGAGCTCAGACATACCAGTAAGGGGAACTCAGACGGAGCTGACGTAAAGTATGTGTAACTGTGCATGCCTGGGTCTGTGCCTGTCTGCAGCACTGATGAGGGAATAGAGGTGCAGATGAATTAAAGACTAAAGGACTAAAGGGAGGAAAAAGCAGCATAACAAGGGCCTTAATGCATCTAACCCTGGGCCTCATTAGCAAGTCTAACTGCTGTTTGTAGAGTAGATTAAATGGAACCTCCTTCCTCAGGCCGGGTCTTTTACAAAGTAAAAACAAATATGCTCTGAGCTCAGAAGCACCTGCTCTCTCCTAGATGTTGCTCTGACCAAAAAACTTAATACGGCATAATAAACACTACTGCTCTGGATGCTGTTTCTCCGCAGCCTCCACTCAGCCACTGATTGAGCTCGGTGGAAACAGTCTGATGATACATGCGGAGAGGTGCTGCAGCCAAGCCTCTTTACACATCAACATCATGATTGCATCCGCTCGCCCTCGCTCCAGCCTCAACAACACTCCATTAACAGTTAGATTAAACATACACAAAGGCTGTGCGGGAGCAGCATGACTGATGGCAGAGGAGGTGCACTGGACTACTGTTCCTGCTCCTGGTCTGATGAGCCCTGCAGGAGAGCACATCTCCAGCAGCGGTTCCACGCAGCTCCAGATATTTGATGTCAAATCCAGTTCATCGCAGCTCGTGGCTTAAACAAAGGGGGAGAAAAGAGAGGACATTGGTCACGTGTCACTCAGAGTTTCCAATTTAGAAAAATAGTAAAAGTGGGTCGAGGATGAAACCATGACCGCACTGTAGAGGACGGCGTAATCCTGTCTGTCCAATTCCTATTTTCCTCTGTGTTTTTAGGCACAGGCAACAGTGTGCAAAAGCACGCAAGTTGGACGGAAGCTAGAGTAAAAGACAAAAACGTTCAAAGTCACTGTTTTGAACAAACGCTGCTAAAGTTATACATTAGCTCTGACCAGCAGTCTTACCTACTGACTGTTAGGATTTAAATCACTCCTAGCTCGGTGAATGGTAACCTGCTTCACGTCTTTAACCTAATATGCGTTTATTTGTCCAAACTCAACAAATCTTTCAGGGACAGATTTCTGGAGACGAAAATGAATTAAACTCTGCTCTAATTTAGGAATATTATCGCCACGATATTGGCAAATTTTGTAATCTGTAGGAATCGTTATTGGTTTTTGCTCCAATCTCCTCCAATTGCCTCAACATTATTTCAATTCTGTCCCCTAGGGGAACAGAAGATATTTGAGGAACACTGTTTTAATCCATCGCCTTAGTGAGCAGGCAACACTTAACTTCCACAACTGCCCTGCTATGTCGGTATCGGTTGATATCGAAATTGAAAATTAAGCATTTGGACAATATCGACATTTTGGATATTGGCAAAAAGTTAATATCGGACAGCCCTACTCTAAATGAATCTTGATAAACAAAACCTGATACTGCTGAGAATAGTTTTGCAACAATATAATTGCTTGAGCTTCTTATGAACATAAACCTGCAATTGTGGCTTTCAAATACTGTGTACAGTAAGTATTTCAAGTGGCCATCGCTTAGTGCCAGTGCTTTCTTTGGAGAGGATGGACGCTTGTCAAATATAGACGTCGCACGAGATTTATAGCCAAAGGGCTTCGGGGGGAAACCAATGACAAAGTCTACATCCATGTGACCTAAAACACTTCATGTTTATTTTGGTTGCAACTCTGCAAAGTGACACTTGGCTCCCGGTGCAAAATCACCGACGCACTTTACAAGAGCTTTAATGCGTCGCCAGGAAAACAAAGAGCACACGCGACCACAAAAGATATCTTTGAGAAAATCATATCTCTGTAAACTCCGAGAACCGAGCTGTTCTCTGCAGATCTGCAGGTTGTCATTTCATTTAAAAATAGAAAAACAAATGAGCACCCATGTTAGCAACATGGATGTCATGAACAGATTAGAGCGGGATGAAACGGCCATGTGTTCCTCTGGTTCAGATCACTACGTGGGTTTAAATCTGTCTTGGATTATTAATAATATGAACATTTACCAGTGATTTTGTTGTCTGGCCCACAGAGTGTTTTAACAAGCACCATCCACTCCTCCTATTGCTATCATATGTTTTACATAAAGTCAGACAAGCGAGTGAGCTCAGTTCACGGTCCTATAATATTTCCACGGCTGCGGATAGGAACCCTGTGTCTAACGTCAGGCTTCTTTTGAATATTCTGTGGCAGAGATTTCTAGTTAGAGGAGAATATTTTCCACCAGCTGGACATATACAAAGTGTTTGACAGAAAAACAAAAAAATTAGTTGAAGCTCAGTCTATTGGGCCTGGGCTGGTAGCACCGAGTTGTCAAGGAAGGATGTTGTCTTCATTACCAAAGATGCTACCTTCTCTCTGAGGTCATTTCTTATGTAAGTGTGAGTAGGTGGTTAAGTAAGTGTTAACAAGTGGGAAAAAAAATCCAGTAGGTGGCAGCAATGCAACCAAAAGGATGAAGAGCTGCCATAACAGGTGTTGGGATATGTTAGGACTAGCTTAGCCGAGCTTGTGCACGCGATTATAACAACATCAGCCTTATTTCAGTATTTCCTTCTTTATTTTACACTGATTTAGCTTTGTTTTATTTTTATTCTACTGTGACAAAGCTTTGTTTTTTACTGTGTTCAGTGAATCGCCGCTGACTTTGAGAGTACACTGAGATTTACCTTAAGGACAACGAGGAACTCCTGCTCTGGTCCCAGCTGAGTCCTCTTAACATAATCTATCTTTTTTATTCATGGAAAATGCCCTAATACCTAAGCACTGTCCATGTGCCAGTACAATCTTACCACAATCAAAATG